CAACAACGCTCCGAAGTAATGGTAATTTTCCCGACCATGGGCTCACTAAGTCCAAGTCTCCTTCTACCTTTGCTTTCCTGCAAAACTTTGGAGAAAGATAGTTCACGACACTTAAATGAAAGAGGACAGATAGATTGAAACAATAATGTGAAGAAAAAAAGTCCTAATATTAGAATATTCAACACGGTGTATGGAATTTTCTATCACCTTCTTTGTCAATTTTTTTTTTTTTAAGGAAATCTTTGTCAATTTTAGTACTAAACATTAATCATGAGAAATAAACTTTTCTATTTATTTATTTATTTATTTATTTGTAGTCGCACATGTCTACCTCATCTCCATTACCACAACATTCTTGAACTCATTAATGCAAGACAAGAAAAAGTTAAGTGTGACTCATTAATAATGGATTATTAGGTTTCACAATTTCAAACGTCACAAATTCAAGTGACGAATAAATAATCGAGCCACAAAATTATTGACTAATTTGTGAAGAAATGTCCATCACAGATAGAGATAAAATATATTTTTTTAATCTGTCGCAAATGCTTTACACATTAAAAATTAAATTCGTCAAACACTATAATATAACATGATGCATGCGGAAGCAAACAAAATATTTTTGGTGACGATAAACCAGGCATATATATATATATATAAAGATGCTATCATTTAAAGTGGTTGGTCAAGTGACTTACATCAATCTACTAATATATAAAAAATATTATTGAGAGAATAAATTATTCCCCTAAACAAAGCTTGTTGGAATACTACATTGTGGATATTGTTGTACTTTTGGGAAGGATCTTCAATTTATAGAAGTGCAAAACTTGTCTTTCAATAAAGGATAAGTCATATGAAGTAGATTTATTCCTTTTAAGAGTCTTTTTCCCCGTGCTTCAAAAAAATGTCCTACTAGAATAGAAATTCAGGCAAAACTTTATACTGTCACAGTATTATGAAAGATACAATCCATCACATGAATCCTTCACAAATTTCTTTGTTTATCTGAAAATTCAATAAATATGTACTAAAAATTAATTATATTTGAATAATTTACTGAACTAATAAATTATCACTTATTAACTATTTATACATAAATGATAATTAACTAAGTAAACTTATTTAAAGCATGCACTCCCTTTATTTTAACCACGCCAGCCTACATGTTTCATCCATCAAGCATTTTATTTCTTTTAATTAGTTAAAATATGTGATGTAATTAATTATATATATAGCGAAAAACAGGAATAAAATGAAGTACGAAAAATGTCTGCTTGACTATAAGTCTTAGCCAACTTCTATTTAGAAAAATTATGTGGTTGTTCTCCAATGAGACTGATTTTAGCTGAATGTCTATGTAATTAATGGAGTTTTTAATAAATAGACTCTTCATATTTTCCTTGTGTGCCAAATTATATATTTGCCCATTTAGCTTCTTCTTCTCTGTATCTTCTTCTTCTTCTTCGCTATATTAAAGTAAATGGAGTAATATGATAACATAAAGTTACGCCGATCTGGTAGAGTTTGGTGAACGAACAATCACAAAATCATGTCAGTCGGGTATAGCTTGTGAACAATTAACAATATAGGTAAAGTAAATATAGCATAAACTCAACTGATCCGGTAGAGAAATTCCCAAAGAGCTACGCGGGTCTAGAGATTATTTTTTAAATACATTCAAAAAGGGATACAATATTTAAAGACCAGCCCCTTGGCCATTCCTGACAATCACTCCTGCTATTTGCACATTTCTGAAAAGATAAATCTGGTACATCCTTTCTTAATAAGATAAACAATTTGAGGAGACTGAACAATAAGTCATAGTGAAAGCCACACTTTCTTTTACTAACTCCCATTACTCTAATTTGCAAAAACCATGTTCATTACACATAAAGGCATAAAAGACAAAAATAGAAAGTTACATAAAGATAGAGCACAGGTATTACATAATGTGAAGTTACAGTTTGTGGTACTCACATGTCAACCAATAATTACATCTACTTTTGCAGAATCAGAACAATTCTCAAGCAAAATCATAGACTCAGTTGAACCTAGTGAAGAACTCAGATTGAATTCCAACGGAGATGGTTGCAGTGATTCAGAAGGCCTAGGAGGCGTTTGCAAAGCCTGTAATTCACCTTCAATCATTTCAACCACTTTAGTCATTGAGGGACGATCGAGTGGATTCATTTGTATGCACCATAAAGCAACTAAAGTGAGCTTCTTTATGATCTTCTTTTCATCATCGTCTGGTACTTCAATTTCCTTTTCCTTGTCGAATTGATCATATATCCAATGTGGGAAATACTGGCTTGACATATCCTCTCTTGCTGCCAAGTTTCCTTTCATGCCTGCTATCTCAATCAGTAACATTCCAAAGCTATACACATCTGCCTTATAAGATATCGGACCAATGCTTCTGTTGATCAGTTCTGGAGCTACATATCCGATTGTTCCCCTTGCTGCTGTTAGAGTAACAATGCTGTTATCCGTTGGGTATAATTTGGCCAGACCAAAGTCAGAAATTTTTGGAACGAAATTTTCATCCAAAAGTATGTTGTGTGGCTTGATGTCAAAATGTAGAATTTGTATGTCACAACCTCGATGCAAATATTCAATACCTCGAGCAACTCCAAGAGCGATTTCAGACTTTCTTTGCCAGCTCAGTAGAGTTCCTCCTTCTCGGGATGTGATGTATTTGTCAAGTGATCCATTAGGCATGAAGTCATATACGAGGGCACGTTTAGATCTCTCAGCACAATAGCCAATAAGTTGTACCACGTTAACATGATGAATCCTCCCGATTGTGGCAACCTCATTGATGAAGTCTTGCCCATCAGCTTTGGGCTTGGTCAAGATCTTCACTGCAACATTAGGACCACTTTGAAGTTTGCCTTTATATACTGAACCATAACCTCCTTGGCCTAGTTTCTCTTTGAAATTCCTAGTCATCTTCCTTATGTTGGAATAGGGGTATCGAATGGGCATGAAATTGTTTCTACTATGCAGGAAACTTTCAATTGCATCAAAGATCGACATATGCCTTCTTCGTAATTCAATCATTAGAAACACAAATATGCATGGGAATAGTACGATTCTTGCCAAAAGGCTAAGCCCTGTGTGCAACCATCATAAAGTAAGACTTTTGTGTGGCAGTGTTTGACTGCTTACAATGTTTAGGCAAGAAAGAAACCTTTTGAATTTGTGATATAAAATGAACCATAGAAATTTTGTCGCTATAAAAAATTAATTAATGAAAAAATGAGAAGTTTAAAGTTTTTTAAATAAGAAAGTAACATTCTTATTGGGACAGACTAAAAAGGTAAGTACGCAACATAAACTGGGATATTTTTCAACTATTACTTTTCTATTTTCTTTTATTATTACTATCCATAATATAACATATAAATTAAATGATATTCTTAATTGTACTTGTAGTCAAATTTTGTCATATGAAATGAAACAGAGTGTTAATAAAAAGGAATTCAGTCTGTGTTAGTTTAGATTGGTTTCAAGCGGAGCGGTCTATAGTTCAGTTCTTCTCTTCCTAAGAATGAATAAATTTTAAAGACAACAGATGTGGCTTACCAAATGGAATGAATCCTGCGAGAACACCAACAATTAATAACACAGTTAATCTCACTTGCAACTATTTACCGATTATATAATTCTAGCATGTATAAAACCAGAATTGACAATAGAACGAGTGCTTACTTGCAAGAACGCTGAGAAGATGTCTTTGAGTAACTTCATTGTGTTTGTTCAAAGAGCATATCCAAGACCCCCCAAAAACAAAATAGAGAGAGGGTGAGAAAATGAATGAGAGAGACCTTTACAGATTACATAGAAAAATGCTAAAAACGTCTTAAGTTCTGGCAAGACATCAGGAATATTCTTACCACATGAAGTTTTGAAGAAATGAAAATTGTAAACCGTGCAGGAGTAATCCACACAGCGAACATCGCTAGAATTTTCACCTTCGCAACCATAAAAATAGTCGCACTTGTTACAGTAAATGTCACGAAACCATGAAAGTTCAAACCCATATGCCAAAGCATTATGCAGCTCTAAGATTGAAATATAAACATTTGCATCATCAATAGTCCATGAAGTCATTGACATGAGGTTTACAGTACACCCTACGCTCAAATCAGATGCCAACAATTTGGCCATGGTTGCATATGTGTGTCCCTTTAATAATTCAGAAGAAGTATTGGAAGCATCACTCCTGTTGAGACAATTAGTGATTTCTACAAAGGCGGGAGAATTCATGGCAAATGGACAGCTGAAAATAGTGATTGGCACAACTAAAGGAGCATAAGAACCATCAGGTTTAGTAATATCAAATTGAAAAGGGAGAGTGAAAAACGTAATTGAATGCTGAGGAAGAGAGCAAACAACTTGTTCTCTTATACCAGGATCTACAAGGCGGATAGTGGAGTTATCGTAATTGATGGCTTGCACATAGTAGTTCAGAGACCCATTCAAACTTTCTGTAAATATCGTGAATATGGTGCGATTTCCTTGGCAGCTTAATTCATATTTTTCGTCGCCACAGTGCTTTGGACCAGTTTTCAATCGAAAGGGGTAGCTGATGTTCTTAATATGCCCACAACTAGAAGGTGCACACCGCTGGTTCTGTTCGGCAAATGGGGTGTCAGAGAGCTGCAAGAAGATGAGGATTGTAAGAACTGAAGGAAACTTGGTTCCTCCAGACATTTTCATGGTTAACTCTGTGCGTGTGTGTGTGTGTGTTTCTTTTAAGGGTTTTCCCTTTTCAGTACTGGTGCCAAACACTGCTAGTAGTAGTCAAGAAGATAAATTTTTCATCCCCCTCCTTTTCTTGGCCCACAAAATACCAATTATGCTGTTGCAAAAGAAAGAAATGAAGTCACTAAATCCTGAAAGAAAAGTCTTCAGTCTTCACAAAGAAAGAGAAGTCATTAATGGATGCAAGACTTCTCTTAATACTGTTGACTGTACAAAGTCATCAAATAAAACAAAAGTCCAAGTCTTCACAAAGAAATAGAGTCATTAATGGATGTAAGACTTTTCTTGATAACGTACAGTGTACAGATCAAAAAAGAGACATCAACATTGACTTTTGGTCCAACCAGCAAAGTGGTGCTGCCCTTCCCGGACCTGCATGAAAAGAGAGGATACCTTGTGCACCGGCCTGGCCTTTCAACATATTAATGCAAGACTTGTCAAAGTTCTATATTTGCCTCTGGCACAACTGCAAGCTTGATTTTTAAGGTCTTTCAGTAGAGATGACCATCTTTTTCCTCCTGCACTTACTTCTCGTAATCATGGTATTTTTTGCTATGGCTGGTGAAGGAACATATGATTGCAGAGAGTCCAGGTGTGGAAGTGATGGCCCTAGCATTCATTTTCCCTTCAGGCTTCAACATCAGCCGGAATATTGTGGCTATCCTGGCTTCGAGTTATCTTGTGACAGCAAAAACAAAACTATACTCACCCTTTCCAATTCAGTTAGACTATCTGTTGAAGAAATTGATTATATGTCTCAGCAGATTCGCCTTTATGATCCTGAACGTTGTCTTATTCTTAAGCTAGTTCACCTTAATTTATCAACATCTCCTTTCTTTTTCACTGTTAAACCCTATCTTACACTAGATGACTATTCGGTTTTCAAATGTTCTGGTATCCCAGCAGATTATCTGGGCCAACAACCTTGTGCCTCTGACAAAGCAATAGTTGCTATTGACTCCTCATGGTCTTTGGATGATCTCCCCCCTGCAACTTGCAAAAAGATTCTCGAAATTCCATCAGTTCCCTACAGTATAGAGAACAATTACCTTCAACTCCGTTGGTCAAATCCGAAATGTAGCTACTGTGAAGGTCTTGGAAAGGATTGTGGCTTCAAGAACTATACTAAGCAACTGAGAACCCAGTGTCTTGACCGACCATACACTACAAAAGGTATTAACTCATTTCAAAGTTGTATTTTGATTGCATAATTAATTACAAAAGAGAACGTAGATGTCCATAAATAAAACAGCTCCAATTCCTGCTTACTTTCTATTCCGGTTTATCTTCTCCTGCCAGTAAGAAACTGCAAATAGGCTTACATGATACTATTAAGATAAATGAAAAGTCAGCTTGAAACAGAATTCACATACATGACTTTAAAAAACAAACAACAGACACGAAATAGAAGAGAGCATGAACCCATTTAGACTAGCCTAAGCCAAGTCCCCAAATCCAATTAAATATTTGAAATCAAAATCACATCAAGCTTGATTGGAGTGCAGTAACTCCGATTCCTGAATATGAAGGTCACAGTTTTGAAATTCAGCCTAATACATGTTCAGCCTCAAACCAAACTATTTTTGTGTAAGCACAGGAAAACAATATTTTGGATGCATCAATGTTTACTATCTTGACAAAACTATTATGCGCTTCTCTTTGCTATAACAAAAAATTTAATTTGATTCTGACAGCTGGTACATTAAAGAAACCACTGATTGCAGGTATGTACTCTATGCATTTTCGTATAATTCTTTTCTCCTTTACACATTTTTAGTTGCCTTCTGTATGATGTGGGAGATGAAATGTTCCAGGTGGAGTTCTAGGTCTTATTCTTTTGGGAATTATTATGTTGGCACTCTATGAGTTTTATAGCTCAAGCAAAATAGAAAGAGAGAATCAAGCGAGAGTTGAAAATTTTCTGGAAGACTACAGAGCTCTCAGGCCTACTAGATATACTTACGCAGATCTTAAGAAGGTAACAAATCTGTTTCAGGAAAGATTGGGAGAGGGAGCTTACGGGGTTGTTTATAAAGGAACACTTTCTAATGAAATTCATGTTGCTGTCAAAGTGCTAAATGACTCCATAGGAAATGGGGAAGAATTTATTAATGAAGTTGCAGCAATGGGAAAAATCCACCACTTCAATGTGGTTCGCCTAGTTGGCTATTGCGCTGATGGATTCAGAAACGCTCTTGTGTATGAATATTTGCCAAATCAGACGCTTGACAAACTCATTTTTCCAGCAAGTTCCAAAGATCGCATTATCCTTAATTGGAAGAAGCTTCAAGATATTGCTATGGGTATAGGGAAAGGACTGGAGTATCTTCATCAAGGATGTGACCAACAAATCCTTCATTTCGATATCAAACCCCAAAATATTCTGTTAGACCATAACTTGAACCCAAAGATCTCTGATTTTGGTCTTGCCAAGTTATGCTCTAAAGAGAAAAGTGTTGTAACCATGACTGAAGCTAGAGGAACCATGGGTTATATTGCACCAGAAGTATTATCCAGCAATTTTGGAAAAGCGTCTCATAAATCTGATGTCTATAGCTTTGGAATGATGCTACTTGAAATGGTTGGAGGGAGGAAAAATTTTGACGCAAAAGCCAATACTAGCCAAATGAACTTTCCTGAGTGGATTCATCAACAGCTGAATCAAGGAGAGGAGTTAAAAATCAGGATCGAGGAAGATGATGATATCATAATTGTAAGGAAATTGGCTATCATAGGACTTTGGTGCATACAATGGAATGCAACGGATCGACCTTCCATCAAAATTGTTACGCAAATGCTAGAAGGAGATGGTAGCAATCTAACTATTCCTCCTCCTTTTACAGCAAGATACACCACCCACGTAGGAGCTGGAGTGATTGCATGCCCTTCTAGCGAAGAGTTGACAATGATATCAGAACTAGAATGAATGAAAGCTGCATCTAAAGTTCTGATGTCGGATTTGGTACAAGTGGATGCTTGAATTTCAGTAATTTAATTAGATATCTTTCGAGTCATTTAGCTGCTACATCTCAACTCTTTTACATGTGCAAGATATTTATTGTGACTGCGTCTAGTTTGTTATTCCCTGTAATGCTAAGAATTGAGTGTAATATTGCAACTAGAATGAACGGAGGCCTTAATTACAGATCAAATCTTGCACATAAAGTTCTTATGTTAGATTCAGTACAAGTGGAAGCCTGAATTTTGTATAAAGTATTTTAGTACTTCCATTAGATATGTTAAGCCATTTAGGTGCCACTGTTCAACTCTTTTACATGTGCAAATGATTTATTGTGACTGTATCTGCTTTGTTTTTCCCTGTAAAGTATAAGTATTCTAATAAACGATTCTCAACTCAACACTCTCTCCAAAGATATTAAAGATAAAATAGTAGAAGTACTAAATCCCACATAAACAAATACAATGTTTGATTAGCCATATAAGAAAATATAATCTCCACATAACTAATGCAACACTAAGAATATAATTAGCTGAAAACTTACCCCATCCAGTCATGTCAGAAGAAAACACCCACTAATACTTTGCAAAAGGAGTACAATATCTCTACAATAGCGCATAGCATGACGCAGACACAGAATGACCTAATAGTTTATGTGCAGAAAGAACTAATCAGCAGCAGCAACAACAAACCCAGGATAATCCCACAAGTGGGGTTTGGGAAGGGTAGTGTGTACGCAGACCTTCCCCCTACCTGGTGAATGTAGAGAGGCTGTTTCCGACAGACCCTCGGCTCAATGCAGAAGGAACTAATAAAAGAAAAAACAAATGTGCAGAAAGTATCAGATACAATTCCTAGATTTCAAAGAAATAGATGAACCTGAATTAGCACGACCATTATATAGCCTAATTAATCATTTGCTTTGAACAGCTAAAATGTTCTGCTACATGATAGGAGTCTGATTCTTGAAAGAGTCAACTTCCATACGGGGCTTACAACCTATAAGTCAATTCCACCAACTGAGCTATTGGTATCATAACAGGAGCATATATTTTAATTCTTGGCCAACATACTGTGAAAATCAGAAACTAAGATAAAATATATCGAAAGAAATTTCAAAGGCGAAAACATCGAAAAGCACCCAAGTTTCTTGGGGCTTGAAGCACAAAGCACTCATACTTTAAAAGGCACAGATGAAGAAAAAATATAACACTATGAATAAATAACTATAATCAGACATTGCCAACAAGCCTTCAAGATAACATTTGCATTCAACACTCAACTGCCCCACGTGCCAAGCACGCTTATGCCAACCGCCTGCTTTGGCGCCCAATTGCCCATTTTTGACACCAAGCGACAAGGCCCTGACACTTATGACCTGTATCTATGAATTGGTTTCCAATATTCATAATCATACCTGTTTTGATTTTTCTGCAGAAGGGAAATACAAGGCCAAACACACTGTTGATTTCCCAGTGAATTCTCGTCTTTAATCTAAAATAGATGAGCTCTTACCTCAAGCAGTTACCATTATGTTTGCAGTGCATACAGTGGAGCTTAAACGAATAGCAAGGCCATGCTTCAGAGTACTACTCGTCTTCTTTTGCTGCTCTTCTTTTTTCATTGTTTTCTTTTTCTGTTTCTCTATTAGCACATACATATCCATCATTTGCATGAGCAAGCCTCTCAAGATCAAATCTTTGCCTAGTGTTCTACAAAAATATTAGCTGGTTACTGGTTTGCCGTTTGCACGAGCTAGCTTCTCAAGTTGATGTCCTTTCTTTTCGTGGGTTCTACAATGATAATTCGACTAATATTAGGTGTGAATATAGGATATCTCTTCTCTCTGTTTTTGACAGGTGAATATACCCTTCTTTTCCCCAAGCAAGTTTGGCTGATATCTTCCTTGTAACAGTTTGTTGTCATTGCATAAACACATTCTCCACATATTTTTTTTCTAATCTATACTATAATGAACTCAAACAAGTAAAACATCATTAAATGTTAGCAATCATATCTGAATGAATTATTATTAAAGAAATGTGCAAATGAGCATATTCTGGAAAAAAGAAAGCTACAATGTGTGAACAAGAATACTGTGAAGCTCTAATACTGTAATGTGATAACAAGAATTAATCAATCAATTACACCTTAATCCCAAATTAGAATGTATGTGATTCATCCAATTGCTTTAATCACAACAAATGAAGGCTTTACACTAGTGTTCACTTTTCTAAATGTCTGCAACTGAATAAACTGATTGCTGCATGCACTATATAGATACCATCTCAAGAACACACACACACACACACACAAACAGTAATCTGTAGAGGGGCAGGGTTTCAAATAATCTCACCAGCATTGGGGTTGTTTAGGGTTAATTGCGTGGCAGATATATAACATTAATCACATCTGGACAGAAATAGACCCTTCCCTTATTAAAAACCCTAACTCCATTTTCTTTCTTTCTGCTTCCATAATCGTTCTATGTGATACTCTGCTCATAGGCAATAAAGAAAGACAGTAATTTGTGCTCTTTTACTTGTGATGATTTAGCAAAACTTTGAATTGCACAAGCTGTAATTTCTTTCCTTGATGTATTTAAATTATGTTTATTTATATAAATCCTTTGCATTTGTTAAAATAAGTTTATCTAAATCAGCTTATAACTTAACAATACTCATAGTAATTTGGGGTATTTGAATTAACCTAAAATTAAAAATACTATCCGATAGGTCATCTAGAGTTTTAGAACCTAATTTTGTGTTTCGAAGCCTCTAGTAGCTTCTTTAAGTCTTCATCGATTTGCGTGCGTAATCCGGGTATTTTTCCGGAAGGCTTTTATGTTAAAAACTGATAAAATATGAAAGTTTGTCTTAAAAATTCATTTGAGCTGACTTCAGTCAACGTTTTATGCAAACGGACCCGAATACGTATTTTGACGGTCCCGGTGGGCCCGTATCGTGATTTGGGACCTGGGCATATGCCCGGAATCGAATTCGGAGGTCCCTAGCTCGAGTTATTGATTTTTGTCAAAAATTGAAAGTTTAAAGGTTTAATGATTTTAAAGAATTGACCGATATTTGAGTTTGTTGGTACCGGGTCGGTATTTTTGTTCCGGAACCTGGTATAGGTTCATTGCTATATTTATAACCTGCCTATCAAATTTGGTGAGAAACGTAGTTGGTTTGACGTGATTCGGACGTCTGCTTGTAAAAATAGAAGTTTTAAAGTTTCTTGAAAGTTTTATTTGATTTTGGTGTCTGATTCGTTGTTTTAGGCGTTATTCGGGTGTTGTGATCGCACGAGCGAGTTCATATGAGGTTTTTGGACTTGTGTACATATTTGGTTTGAAGCCCCGAGGGCTCGGGTGAGTTTCGGATAGCCTACAGACCTTTTAAACTTAAAAAAATTTGGTTTTTTTGAAGCTTCAGCTGTCATATGGTGTTGAGCTTCGCGATCGCGAAGGGGAATCTGGGCTGGGGTGGGTTTTCTTCTACGCAAACGCGAAGCAGTGGTGGGATCAATCTTCGCGAATGCGTCCAGCTCTACGTGAACGCAATGAGTAAGGGGTCTGGATGGGGAGCATGGGTTTGTTCTATGCGAACGCGAGCCCAGGCTCGCGAACGCGATGGCCAGGGGGGACAGACCACCGCGAACGCGTGCAACCCTTCGCGAACGCGTAAGCCACTGAGGCTTTGCTCTTCGTGAACGCATCAGGTTTCATGCGAACGCGATGAATACCTGACGCCCAGTGATAAAACAGAACCAGTTTGGGATTTTTGCCATTCTTTCAAATTTCAAAACTAGAAACCCCTAGAGGCGATTTTTCCAAGAGTTTTTCTTCCCAATTTATTGGTAAGTAATTTTAACCTACTTTCTTTCAATTACCCATTACATTTCATAAGTTTTCAACCTAAAATATAGGATTTTCATGGTGAAAATTGAGGGTTTAGGTAGAGTTAGGGATTTTAGCAAAATTAAAATTTAGACCTCAAATTGAGGTCGAATTTCGAAATAAATTATATAACCGAGCTCGGAGATGAATGGGTAAATGTATTTTGGTCCGAACCTCGTGTTTTGACCTAGCGGGTCCGGGGTCGATTTTTACTTTTTGGTGGAAAGTTTTGAAATTCTAAATTTATGCATTGTAATTGATTCATTTAGCAATATTTGATATATTTGAGTCAATTGTGGTTAGATACGAGTGATTTGGAGGTGGATTCTAGAGAAAAGGCCCAGGTAGAGCTTTGAATTGGTCTTTGGAGCAAGGTAAGTGTCGTGGTTAACCTTAAATTGAGGGATTAAGACTTGTTTGCGTAATTGCTACATGTTTAGATGTTTGGTACAACGTATATGTGAGGTGATGAGTACTTATTCGTTGTTGTTGGGTCAAAACATGCGGTAGAACTTGTTTTCTTGCAATTTATTTCCTTCTTTGATCATGATATCCCTGCTTAGTCTAGTTAATTATTAAATTGTTCGTTCTTTACGCATTTATGAGCTATTTGAGATATTTGATGGTATTGTGGAAACATCATTGATGTGAGGCCTTTTCTTTCTTATTATGTCTCCCTTTTATTTATGTTCACCGTTATATAGTAAGGGAGAGTGTTAATGCACGAAGGGTGATGTTGTGTCGTATCTATTGATTGTGATGAAAGTGAGATTAAAAGCACGAAGGGTGATACCGTGCAGTTATTTTTGACTCACAGTGAGGTTGAGAGTAAAAGCACGAAGGGTGATACCGTGCAGTTATTTTTGACTCACAGTGAGGTTGAGAGTAAAAACACGAAGGATGATGTCATGCCGATATTATCGTTTCACATTGAGGTTGAGAGTAAAAGCACGAAGGGTGATGTCGTGCCAATATTATTGTTTCATAGTGAGGTTGAGAGTAAAAGCATGAATGATGATGTCGTGCAATTTTGTTCATTATGTTTTATTCATTTTTGCTGGTTAAAGGTTGATTGACTGTTCTTATTAGCATTCCATGTAGTGCTTATCGTATCTTGTGCCCTTTTTCGCATGTCCCCTCCCGAAATTACTTGTTTAGCTTTTATTTGTTATTGTTGTACGTATAGTGTTATCTGCACAAGTTTATTTCTATGTGGTGTCTTGTCATAGCCTTGTCGAGGTTAGGCTCGATACTTACGGAGTACATTGGGTCGGTTGTACTCATACTACACTCTGCACTTCTTGTACAGATTTTGGTATTGGTCCCAGTTGTCCGTGAGGCGTTTCAGCTTGGATTTGCTTTGGAGACTCTAGATAGTTTTGCTGGCGTCCGCAGACCTTGAAGTTCCCTTC